ATCGTGGAGAATAAACTGAAGATTTCGACGGAAGAGATTGCTATAGAGTTTGATAATCGACATCTCAACACGTGGGTGCCACATTCTCTGACAGAACAGAACAAGCTCGATCGTGTTTCTGCGGCGGTCCCTTTGCTGTTAAGCCATCGGTTCTTTGATAGAATTGTCACAGGCATTGAAAACAAATCCTTTATGATAACGTTCGACACAAACGGAGCTAGAAACAAACTTGTGAATGTTAAGAACCCGTGGCTAATACGGGCTTGTGTCCAATGGAGGCATTGTTGCTCGTTTGGTGGGATTGCAGAGTCATAATTCACTTTAAGAGTCTTCCAGCCAGCGAAACAATAACTGTAAAGAAGTATTTCGACAGACTCATCAATTTCAAGGCAGCTATTCAAGAAAAACGGTCGATTTTTGAAAATCGAAAAGGTGTCATTTTCCACCACGACAATGCAAGACCGCGTGTTTTTCCTACATTTCTAAGGTACATGCTTACGCATATGGTTTTCTGTAAGTGAAAACAGCTGAGGTATCTACTCCGAAAATTTACTTTGAAGTGCGGCCCGCTTTGTGATGAACTATAGATCATGCACCCCACTGCTCGAAAATGTTGCCCATGACTAGTTTTATGCTTTGTTCAAATGTATTTGTACGTAATAATTCTAACAGCATATGAAATAATTTTTCAGTTCGCTATGGTACCTAGACTTTTAAGCCCAGTACTAGATTGGCGGTAAGGTCTCAAGAATCCACAATTGAATTGGCTAAATGTAACAGTGAGTTCTATCTTAAAAGTTTCTTTTCTCGCACTTCTCGATTGTGGAAGTCTTCCTGATTTCCAGGTAACTTTGATCTTCAAAAATTTAAATGCAATATCAATCTTTACTGTCTTGATTACTCTTCTATTCTTCTCGTTCCCTGATATTTCTCTTTTTTTTTTTTTTTTCTTCCACACTCAGTAATCCATTGTGTCTCAGTGGCTTTACTGCCTTGCATGGGATGATATGATTGAAAAAAAGACGAAATTTACTCACCGTTATTCCGTAATGCATGACAGAAGATAACTCGTATGGTACAGACATGCTGTTGACTTCATCACGTTTGTATTTATTGAACCATATCCTCATGTTGGGCTGAACGTTTGGGTAGATAATCCTGATATAATTGTCCCGATCTGGGAGTTGATGTTCATGGACCAAACCAACAGCATGACCGATTTCATGCAAGTAAAGACCTTTCTGTATTTGCAATGAAAAGAAACAGAACAAATTTCGGCTGTTTAATAAAAGACAATTCAACTTTTGTTCATACTGAATAATAATATCGCTAACTAAGACAATAATTAATCCCAAAGTACTCTTGTGTATTATTAAACATTATGAAATAATTTCTTTAGGTTTTTCCATCCGGAGCGGTGGTTATTTGATTTCACACATTAATTATTTTTAAAATAGTTTTGTCCGTAGCACGCTTATTTTGTTTCAGGAATCAGAAACTATGCATTGTCGTGTTTATTTGAACCGGCACGCTTATTTTATAAGGACTGATTGGGAATACCAGGAGCTCTAAGATTGGATGTGCAGGTCGTGTAATAGATAATGGCTTGGAATTGTTAATCGGAGAGCCGAGTTCCAATTTCCGTTAGGTTCGTTATATTCACGTATGCGTAAATATCCTTGGGAAAGGCATGAGTCCACCTGTTCTCATCTAGCTATGGTTTAATTAGTAATTTTTTTTTACCACTAAACCATTATTATCTCAGGAAAAAATCTTACAAAATAAATATATTTTCTGGCTTTAAATAACCTGCAAAGGGTTGATAAGCCGTAGAAAATTATCTGGCGTAATTATCCCGTGCGATACTTCTATTTGGTAGAAACTTGTATTGAAATAGAATTAATAATGTTTTATCTGATGATATTACAGTATGGAAATAATTTGCGATTCCTTAATTTCTGTCTGTCAAAAGACATTTTAATTTACTTATCTGAATTGGTTTGAGATGAAAATATACGTTGTTGATAGACGATTTCACGATTACGGTTGCGTCGGCGTAGCTTTTCTGGTTGACCATTACTACTGAACAGTGATCCTCACTGGGTACCCCATACAAAATTTAGCATCAAATAACCCAATAAGTGTTGACATGTAAAATCAACCAATCTAAAATAATATTTAGTTACGTTAATGACCAAAAAGGTGTTATAAATTTTCCTCGTGGTTGAAGTGGAGACTTGAGGCAAAAGAGATGTGGTTCTACAGAAGGAAGCTGTGAATACTACGGACCGCGCATGTGAGCAACGAGGAAGTTCTAAAGAAAATGGCAACAAGAAATCAGTTATACTTAGTATCAGAAAGAGAGGGATGAAATTTCTGGGTCACATGACGAGGAAATGAGGTCTGGAGAATTTGACACTCACAGGACACACTAAAGACAAAATGAGCATAGTGAATCAGCGAGTAATCTACCTAACGAGTTTATATATCGAGATGATAGAACAGGGACTGAAGGGAGATAGTAAGAAGACAAACATTGCTAAAAGCTTTGAAATTGTCGAGAGACATGATCGCACACGCCCTGAAGGGAAACAGCACATAAAAGAAGATTCATACATTGCGAACAAAAGATCGATTTACTCTTATAGATATTTGGACCTAAAAATTATGATATAAAGAAAATAAACTTACGTATCGACATCCATTGGCATCGAGGTTAAGTTCCTGTGTTCCTCCGACCATGCCCAAAGCCGAATTACATCTGTAGATGAAAGAGAATTTAGTCAGAGGTTTAATAAAACTAAGTTGGAATATATTTCCATTAAAACAGGGTAAATTAGTGTATGGTTTCGTGAGTATGTGAAAAAAAAATGCATTTACTAAACTCACCCGGCTCCGTTCTGAAAACGCACCCTGTCGTAATTGGCACGAGTGGCTTTGTTAAATTTAAGGCAAGTGTACCTTTCCCACTCAGTGAAAGAACGTCCCATGGTATATATGTCTTTTGTACCTGAAATTGAAAAAGTAAATTGTATAACGTTTTGGTTTTAAATTAGTTCAACGGAAGAAAAATTGCATAATTACTGATTTCGCAAACACAGATGAATTTATGAATTTTTACAAAGTACTTACTGAAATCATATGGAGCAACTTCATAAGGAATTTGAGCTTTTGGCCATCGGAATTTGACATTGCGCACAGCTTTCCGCTTTTTTCTGATATTATCAGGCCTGTGGAGAAGAATATATAACATTTAAGGGTTTCGGCTTTTCACAGACGAATATATATATATATATATATATATATATATATATATATATATATATTATTAAAGACATTTTATTTATGTTTAACGTTGTTATTTTATAGATAACGTTAAACATAAATAAAAATGTCTTTAATAAATAAATTGTCGGACCTCGTCCATTTCTTAACATATATATATATATATATATAATATTTTCAAATAGAGTGTATCTGTAAATGGACAAAATAAAAAGACAAGAGGAAAAACTATTCTTAGCCGACGTGTTTTGTCTTCTGAGGGACTTTTATCAAGGCAAATCATATTTGCCTTGATAAAAGTCCTCAGAAAAGAAACGCGTCGACTAAAATAGTTTTACTAATGGTCTTTATTCATATATATATATATATATATATATATATATATAAATTTGACTTGATAAATTCTATCAGAGGACAAAACGTGACGGCTAAGATAAGTTTTCCTTTTATCATTATTCATATTGTCCTTTTACAGATATATTTTTAGTTATATCTGAATTTTTACACACATACACACACACGCACCCACATATATGTGTGTGTGTGTGTGTGTGTGTATTTATATATGCGTTTATGTGTGTATGTATGTATAGAGAGAGAGTGTGAGAGGGAATAGATAAAGAAAAAGTTCAATGACTTATCCTATGTCTTGAGGTTTTGCAGACACAGTTCTGCTTGTCAAGAGAAGATAACTCTATTGCATTTGTTGACAGATATCACATTACTTTGAAGACGTTACATAAACGAAGGAAAGAAACAGAATAACTTACGGAAAATATCAGCCTTTGATACTGACAAAACTAATTCGAGAGTAGTGAAAAACATGAAGGTGATGTTCATTACTATTTGATGCCTGGAAATGGCAAAGCGATCGGAAAAAATGATGAATGTGTGAAACGATTCAGATTACAACATTGTTAAAGTCTATAAGGAAAGTACTGATGATTTGAAGCGATTTGACGTTGTTCGATCCTCAGTACTAACTTTCAGATAATTTCTTATGAGAATGTACAATAATCAGAAATATAAGCGGTTTTATTTTATCAGTGATAAGTGGTGATATATACTACGAAGATTTTATGATGTAACACAGAAAAGTTCTCAGCCTACTCAGTTCTCAAAATCTGATCAAATGACTAGACATGCGATTTTCTGTTGGGGGAAGTATTCCTTCTCGATGGAGCCGAATATTTTTCAGCACTCGTCCGTATTAAGTTAATAACGGAAAATAGTAAAGAAACTAAGTAAAAATTGTCTTCGAAGTTGTGAGAAATTTATAACGTTCAACCTTTTGGCATGGTATTTTGAAATACATAGATGGGCACAGTTTTCGTAGGAAAATTGTCTAGCACGAAATAGCGAATTAACTTTCTTAGCTGCAAACTTAGAAATTGATTCAATATACTCTTTACACTGTGATCTCAAAAACACTAGTTCGAGAAAGTGCAAGGAGTCCTTCTATTGGAGGTTAGCATCAGCCATGCTGATGGAAGATAAAAAGGGTTCTCTCAGATTATTTAAAAGATAGTAGTTTCGTTTTTTAGGCGTTTAAATTATCAAGCCACTACTTCCCTCATTTAACAACAGATTGTAGGTCATTTTTTTTTAGATCATTTGACAATTTGACATCGAACCGATTAGACTTACTATTAAGGCAGGAGTAAATAGTTGTTTCGTCGGCGTATTTCTTTATAATAAAAAAGACAATCATAAAAGTATTTTTAAAAGAACTTACATTTCAGGCATTTCATAAAGATAATTGAACTGCTCACTTGACAACATCATGTCAAGTTCTGCCAAGACTTTGCCATCGGGGGACACCAGCTTATTTGCAGCCTCTGCAATTAATATATATAATTATCAGTCACGCATCAGATAACTGCATGATTCGAATTAAACCGTTTTTCAATACATGGACAATACTCCTTTCTCAAGCAAACATAAATGATTATAATTTTTTTTTTTAATTTAAAGAAAAAGGTTAAATTTAAAACGTTATATGATCTAAAATATATAAATTAATCTCAAACTAAAATAATATAAATAATAATTACATTATGAAAACAAATTTTAACAACAATAACATATACAGACATTCATTTATTAAATTACAAGACTTAGCATATCCCATGAGTTACCTTAACTTTCATATTCATGAGCGTTCTTAAATTTAAAAATTCTGAAGAACTCTTATTAAAGTAATATATGCGCGATATCCGTATATTTTCATTAATAAGATTTTTCGAACAAAAAATGTTGAAAGTGCTAAAATATATATACATATAAAAAAAATAATTTAAAATTCCCAGCGTCTATCGTTCGTTGCGCATGTGTAGTCGCATCAGCGTAAGCATAAACTTAGTCCGATGATGACCTAAAATACGAAACGCGTCACACAAAAAAATTTCCACGTTGTCATACTTCTTTTTCCTAGAATCGCTCTTGATATATATAAAAAATTATACATCATTATCCCATATATATACAGTGGAACCCCAGTTCATGAATTTAATTCGTTCCTGAAGGCCGTTCGTAACCCGAAATGTTTGTAAACCGAAACTATTTTTCCAATAGGAATCAATGTAGAGAAAAAAGCACGGCAGTCAACTCAGAAATTATTCCGTTCATGTTAAGTCGGTTCGGCTATGTTGTTCGAGAACCGAAATTTTGTTCGATAGCCGAGGCATTTTCATCTTGAATTTTCTGTTCGAAAACCGATTTGTTCTACATGTGAGACGTTCGAGAACTGAGGTTCCTCTGTATATATATATATATATATATATATATATATCGCATATATAATGCTAGTGTTAACAAAAGAGTGCTCAGTGTACCGCAACAGAGGTATTTTAATATATATTAACATGTATTAATAAATATGCATTAATATATATATTTAATATATATTAATATATATTAATTAATAAATTAATATACACATTATATATAAATTAATATATATTAATAAATATACATATTATCCCTTACCGATAGCTTGACTAGGAATTTCATGGACGACATATGTAAATTTTCTTTATCTCCTACTGTTTATTAAATTCACGTGTTGGAAAAAAAGTCTAACATCTGGATGACCTAATAAATTAGTACCCACTTTTGTTGATATCTTTATATAATTTATTTTTGTTTAATCGGTCATTGGCTTGATTTATCGTCTTGTGGTGTTCATAGTTCTCCTCCACCTGCCCTCGATATCTTTGAAGTATTGACTCTGCGCAGATCGCGGGAGATAAATAACATACATTCCTGGGAAAGATGAATAAATAACAGCTGAGTAATTTTAAGCAGTTTGACTAAATTAATATATTCATTATTACAGTACATGTTGTCTCCATCATCAATCCGACAGTCATTTATCCGGTTCAATCGGGAATCTGGCACCATTTTCAACGAGAGCAATTTTAGATTTTCTTGGCCGCCGAACGGACCAGTACTACTATTTGTAGTACCACTCATCATGTTTAGTCCCACTCAAGACATTTAGCCCGACTCATGACTAATAAATACAGGAATTACTTCTCGTTGTTAATATTAGCCGTTTCCTTATATTTGGCATTCATTGACCGAGCATTTAGTGCTGCTATCGTTTCAAATGTATAAATCCTTTCTATTAAAACAATTTTTCAGGAAAATAACTTTCTCAAATTCAAATTCCCAAGGTTATTAGCATGTAAGTGAATGTAATGGATTCAACTAGAATTCGGACTCGGCTCCCCGATTCACCAATCAGAGCCGATATCCAATACGCCACCGTGCCTGCTTGCGTAAAATTTATATAAATCTTGTTATCAACAATCATTGACCACTTTCATGATTGCGTTTAAAATGGCCATAATTGACCATCTGAGTGGTTGTGATACAAAACAACTAAAATCAAGATGAAAGACCAGTAATACATCGAGAATGGCTTATAATACTTCATTTAATAAAAATTCAAGATAAAGGAACTTTCTCGCCTTTTTATTTTAGAATGTTTAAAAAGGTCAAAGTGAATTGAAGCTTTACTTTTAACAATGAATAATAAACGTTTAATGATAACTTACGTCCTATTCCACCTAGAGCTCCAGTGATCAGTTGGTCGATTGTTTTGTTTGTGTAGGGGTCTGATGATCCGAATCCCTTGGGACCAATAATGTAGTTCTTCCCAAGACCGGGAGGAAGAGGCACAGCAAAACAAGATGCAATTAGGAATAATACCTGTAAATAAGAACAATATAGTTGAGTAGCATGAACATTAAGAGATTTTTTGTCATTAATGAGCATTATTTGCTATAACTACAATAAAGTAGCGTTTACTGAGAATCTATTTCGAATAATGAACTTCAAGCTATTTGCTAACAATCGTTCTCTAGCAGAAACCTAAACCTGTCATTACAATTTATTTAGCAGATGTATAGCAATTCCTGTCGATATTAAGTGACCAAGTTCAAATGTTTCTTATTAATTAGTCTTTGCAGCGAAAAAAGTTACACAACTATTAATAATTTGTAATCTTTTAATACCTATAGTTTCACTAGTGGAATATATTTTAAGATAATCGATTGAATGAATTTAAGAGTATTACTAGATTAGGTTATTAGGTCTCATCGTTTTACTGTGGAAACAGGTAGATATAAGCATAAGTTCTATTCTGATAGTTTCTTTTTTCGCTTGTGGAAACTCTCTTCCGGTTTATTGCTTCCGTTACACCTACGATCTTCAAAAATTTAAATGCAATCGCTATTATCTGTCTTCATGGATCCTTTTTTTTTATTGTCCTTTCTCCGAACTAGCGTCTTCTTATTTTCGTCTTAGTGGGATTATTGCCTTGCTTGGAGTGAAACGATTGAAAAAAAAAGCTCTAAACTTGTGGAACTAAAATATGAAGTTCATCTGATCATTTGCCACGAAATTAGCGATAGAAGAGCGATAAGATCGTAACGTTGCATCTGTAGGAAAAGAACATCTTGAAGGAATCGTATTCTTAAATATATTAAGGGATGATATTAGCTTTATTAAATGTATTATTATTATTACATTTTCTTAGCTCATTATGCAACTTCTGGTGTAACAGACACTTGTCTGTTACTTTAATCGCCGACTTTTGCCCACAAAAGCAAAAGGAGTTTGCTGCTAGATTTTTCTGTTAAAGCTATATAAGACTTAAGTGAAACATAAGATAGAAAATTGAAGTTGGGGTCTGGAATTATTATCCCAGTGTGTCATTTTTCTTTAAATATTTTTTTGTTTTTTCGAAAAAATGTTCTCAATGTTGGAGCTTTATGTTGAGCTGAAAATTACATTTTTTTTTCTTTTCCACTCTCTTCAAAATCCTGATGAAGACAGACGTGTAATATGATCCATTCATGTCCAATATCATCAAGTTGTCAGAAACAAAACAAAATAACCCACTCAAATAGTCTCTTTCGTGGTATTTTCACACGACACGAAACTTACAAAAAATATTTAAAAAAGCAAAGAAAAGAGAAGCAGAATAAGAAAGTCTCAATTTCCCTTTCCCTTTCTCTTTCCCTTTCTTTTTCCCTCTCTCTTTCTCTTTTTTACCGTTATCATCTCCTTTCCACTAGTAGTTTGAAATGATACGCCAGCTTGACTTTTAAGAAATAAACTCGAAATAAGCGACTAAAATTAATATAATTCTCGTGGCAATGATGAAAATTTGGAAACTTTTACTTAAAATTGAACAGATTTTTTCACTGAAATCTAACACTAACAAAAACCAATCAATTCACTATATTCTCATGGAATACTATGTTTTTGTCTTGAAGGAGCTTATGTTAACTAAAGATATATAATGCACTCTTTTATTCTGAATGTAGCAAACATATTTTCATATTGACTTCACTTGTGAATAATTAAGAAAAGTTTTGCTAACAACAACAAACATTACTTTCATTTCTCTTTTTTATCCAATTCAAAATACAAAATAATTTTTTCATTATTTTATGTAAAAATTATTATAATTTTATTTTACATCTTCTATCATGAACAGTTTCAAACCATTTTTTCATTACCGTGTACCTTCAGTGATCTTGGCTCTCTACAAATTCTTTTATTTTATTAACAGTTGATTGCCATTTAGTTTTGTTTTTCTTTGACTAGTTTGTCACTCAATGTTAGAGATCCCTTTCTACGATGTTATTTAACCTATAAATGGCGGGGATGCATATTCTTCCCAACGTCATTTGTGCAAAAGTAGAGACAACATCCTAGCCGGGAATTTGAACTCGACTCGCTAATTTCACTTTCAGTGATGATATCAGTTAAAAACTTGCACATCTCTATACTTAAAAGAAAATTGGAATGTATTTTCAAAAATCATTTAACACTCGACTCCTGTTAACTAGAGATTAGTAGAAGTACAAGTAATGCTAACTTTAAATTTTAAATGTAGTTGGAGTTTAATCAATGCTCAAGTACCAGTTCTTTAAAAAAGAAAAAAATCCGAAATGAACTAAAATCTTTTGAAAAGAAGTAAATTTTAAAAATGTCTGTACTTTTAAGTCGATTTTTAGCAAAATATTTATGATGAGACATGATAAATGGTTCCAGATGTCTTTCAGTGAATGATCATAAAGAAAAATGAATAATTGAATTTGAAATTTTTAAAATGCCCCCATCTTTTTTTTTTTTTTTTTTATTATAACAACGTTTCGAGCAGCGTCCCCACTGGCCCTCTTCAGGTGCTTGTCGATCCGATTTTCGAAGCTTCCCTGAAGACATCTGAAGAAGGCTGAAGGGTACAACGGTTGAAACATTGTGATAGTAATAATTAGATAAGGATATTAGTTCGAATGTAAATAATAAAGATATACCATCATCATCATTTTCTTTTCAAATAAATATTATTCTAAGAAATATGTACATGAAGGATTCATTTTAAATTATGCCAATAAAACCAACCAAAACTTGACGTGGGTGGAAAGATTTGTCACAAAGCAAATCAAATATCTATGCAGCTATATCAATAAGTCAATAGTCTAATGATAAATTATCTATTTTTTCTAGTATCTGATTTTCAACATAATCTCATCCCTTTCAATGTAGTTAATTTGGTGTAGATATTTAATTACATATCGGATATTATACAGAGGAAATATTTTTGTCTTAGGTTATGGACTATCGTATTCATTATGATATTGATAGATGTGTAATGCTCTTTTTTTAGTAATTTTGCCAGATCAAATCGTCACTAATTTCGGCTTGTAACAATCAAATGAGAAAAGATTTTGATAAAGTTTGAAAACCCACATGCATTTTTGTTTAATGTCTGGCGAATTACAGAATTAAAAAATAGTTAAAAAAAAACAAAAAAAAACATACAAACCAAAAAATAAAAACAAAAACAAAAAACGAAAAAAACAAAACAGCAAGGCAAAAGAAAAAAAAAGGTTCTTTACAGCTCAATTCAACTGCTATAAGACTAGAGGAACAGATCTAGCAATTGAGTCATTTATGTATCTTTTAAACGCTTAAATAAAACTCGCGTAGCTGAATACTTAGCAACTGACACCAGAACTTATGCATATCAAATACTTGCATAGGCATAGACGAATGAAGTAAACTATGACACTTTGAAAAAAAAAAAGTTTTGGATAAAATACAATTAAAAAAAAAAATCAAATACGAGCCAGACAGCATTGAATTGCTGTGTATTTGAAAGTGTTATTTTATTTCCACTATAATCCTGTTTCTCTTTAAGGTCGGTTTGTCCTAGCAAATAGTAAAAACTGTTATTGAAAATTATTATCATTAATTTTATCGTCATTTTTAAATAATTAATGGTGACTATTATTATTCCTCCCTTTCCCCGTTCTTTTTGCTTACACTTGTTTTTAATGTTCTAATTCGAAAATGTCAAAAAGAATTAACACGAAAAATACCATCTTTTTTTTCAAATTTCCTATCTACATTACATCCTGTCTTAATTTTTCATTACTTACATAGTAATTCTTTTTTATTTTATTTTCGATTTTCCTTTTAACTGACAGTCTCGTTAGCATCCTAGATATGCCATATATAAACACTCGTTTAGACTTTGGATTTATCTTTCACACCTCATGATCTTTGCAGTCAGCGAATTCCTGGCATTGGAAAGAACAGATGTTGGAAGCAAATTAAACCAATCAAAATAATCTGAGACGAGCGGAACGAACACACTTGTCTTTATTGTCTGCTTTTAAATTCAGCCAAATCATACGACGACTCAGCAAAATAGAACGAATTTTTCAATTCACAATTTATTTATATCGCATCCATCTATAAATGATACATTGCTTGTAATTAGTTTTTCTTCCATTTTTTTTTAAACGTTTCTCCTATTTGTAGCTTAAAAAAAAAACTCTAAGATTAAACTTTGTCTCCTATCATCTTCTTAAGGTGGTTTCTAATGACATTGAATCTGAGTGGGTCGTAAGTAATATAACTGGACAGGTTTCAATGTAGTTATAGGTGTGTTCGTTTTTGCATTGACTTACATTTATATTGGCTTACAGTCTGACAGGATATTGATGTGCGCATGCACACTTACGTTCGCGCGTCGTGTCTGCATTTGTGTTTGCGCATTATTAGTTTCTGTATTAAAAATAAAGTTACCAATTTAATTGGAGACACAGGCAAGAGAAGAGGTATTTTTTAATTTTGAGAAAAGTTGATAAAATAAAATCATTTGTTCAATAACACTATGCTTTGCCTTGACTTCGCAATGAATAATTAAGAATAAAAAAAACTGACCATCAAACTATCGATTTACAGGTGCACCATTTATACTTCTATACAGAATAATTCTGGGCTAAGTAACAAAGAAACCCGAAGGAACATCTGAATAGCGAAAGATGCCTTCCAAAAGCTAGACAAAATATTAAGAAACAGACAAATTTAGAAACAAAGAAAAGAATGCTGAACTGCTATATAATATAAATTCTCCTATATGGTAGTGAATGCTGGACAATTTCTTCACAGATGTAGAGTAAACTTGAAGTAACAGAGATATGGTTCTACAGAAAGATGCTGAGAATGCCATGAACGGAACATATGGGCATTGGGAACAAAATGACACTTGCAATTAGAATCAGAAAGTTGATATTTATGGGTGGCATAATAAGGAAAGAGGGCTTGGAGAATTTGACATTCAAAGGACATATTAAAAGCAAGAGGGGAAACATTGAGTGACATACGTTACGAGATTTTGTAAATGG